CTCGGGAGTTAGCGGAGGAGATAGCGGAGAATATAGCAAACGGAGCTTTGTGAAACGCGCCCCTGATAGAAATAGCTGTACGAAAAAGGAGAACATTTGTGAAGAGAGATGTATGTGAGGATGTATAATATGCGTACCTGAGCCACTCCTGTCACGGATATCGGAACTCCTTTCGCAGTGTAAACCATGGGACTAGATATGATCAGAGTCATCGTATTCAGTGAAATCCTGTCCAATAAATTTTTTGTAAGTATATATAGATACGCAACAAAAAACAACAAATCAATATATACGATATCAATCGCAATATGATGAATACGTTAAAGCATGTACACTTGTTATCTATATTTCTTTCTTACATTCTTTTTTGCTGTAATCGATTGCTTTAAAGTTAGGTCTGTTAGGATATCAAACAACAGTCCTCCTGACCGTTCCTGGATCCCCCCCCCCCCGATTCTTCACGATATTTTCTGGTATTGCTTGTGTAACAGCAAATGTCTACAGTATGACTAACATGTCTTAGAATACTCGTACAACATTACTTTCACCAAAATATTCCCCCAAATATCTCCCCAAATATTCTCAAAATATAGGTGATCGTAAAATATCTAACAATTGAATTGTTGACTTCTGGTTGACACATTACATTACAGGCCATAACAGTGCAAACTAATGATAATTTTTCTACTGAAGTAACCAGTAATAGGTCCGCTAATATATGAGATCTAATTCGCCTTTAGGTTTTAATTTTTTACATTTAATTATTCGAGAGATAATATTTTTAACATCCTAACAGATTCACGATTTTTATATTTATATAGAAACTTTAATAAGTCAATGGTGGTTGGTTTGTCAGGAGAAGAAGTAGAGTAATAGACCCAGTAATTATATGCAAGTCAATGTAATATCTTATTGCTATAGTCATTACCTCTGAATTTGCTGGAAACAAGAAAAGAAATATATGCGACCACCACACACCATTCTGGGTTTACCGTATAAACAACCTGTGAAAAACAATAAATATTATAAATTATTATAACGATCAACACCTAATATTCATAACTAGTAGTAGTAGTAGTAGTAGTAGTAGTATATACACACACAAAAATTACAGTTCAGGATACACCATGCTGGAACACACACACAGTGGACTGTAGTCTGTCACACACACACAGTGGACTGTCACACACGTGGTGCATGGCACACACACACTCGAATACAGAATCAGTGTGACACGCACTAACAGTAACAGTAACAGTAACACTAGATACAATAATGTAACCCAACACAAGAGTATGTTAATGTAACCCACCACACCAACCCCCTACTCTTGTGTTGGGTTACATTAGCAGGGGCGTAGATAGCAGGGGGGGATGGGGGGATGCATCCCCCCACTTATTGACGTGGGGGGATGGCGTGTACAATCATCCCCCCCCTACTTTCAGGAGGAAAATGGGGGATTCAAAATTTTCAGGGCAAAGGTATTTTAGCCCAGGTAAGTCTGCACTGGTAAGCCCAGTGAGGACATGTACATAGCACAGATTTGGTAGCAAGTATTTTAGTCTTGGGTGTCCCCAAAGGTAACTCAACAGTGATGTTATTGTGATGAAGATTGTTTTGTTTAATAGAAATTTTGCACAGGGGAGAGATAGTGATCCGCTAGGGGACGGCTCTGATTGGCTAATTTTGTCTCTTATTTATTTTATTTTTTATTATTTTTGTTTTATTTTAGAATTAGGGATAGGGTTAGGGTTAGGATTAGGGTTAGGATTAGGGTTAGGATTAACTGATTTCTATATCCACAACTTCTGATCCCTATCTCCTAATAAACAGTTCAGAAAATATGGTTTTGATTTATTTAATAAATATTTTATTAACCATATTATATTTATTAATTATTAATATTTATTCATTTTATTACCATATAATTATTTTATTGAACCTGTAGTCCCCCAGCTGAAATGGTAATTTAGATGTAATATTATATATGCAGAGAATGCACCACAGAGCACCATATAACCGTTGGCTTCTGGGGCCCTTAAGCGGGCCCCATGCCCCACGCCTTTAATACTGTCTCGCTTCACTCCTTGTTCTTTAACTCACAACATTTGCCTCCTACAAAATTTACCTCTGGCTACTGCCCTGGGAGGGGGACACTCCCTCCAACATCCCCCCCAGGCGCTTCGTGCCCTTGAGCTCGCATGATTCGCCCCCCCCCCTAGAATTTTCTTCTGGATTCGCCACTGGTTGTGTGTGGGGGGGGGGGCGTGTTATTAAACCTCTAAGATCCAAAGAAAAAAATTACCCTAGAATTCACAAAATTGCACTTACAATATCAATATTTTTCAATTCCCTCAAAAACGGCCATCTTGAAGGTTTTAAATTGCTAAAATCCAAGATAATTGCAAAATCCTTGCTTCCCCTGGACCCCACCCATTAAGGGCTTTGCGCCAAAGCGCTCGCGGTGTGCGCTACTTGCGCACACTATTCATATACATTGCGATGGAAGTAACAGCGAAATCATCCTCCCCCCCCCCCAACTGAGAACCTGTCTATGACACTGTACATTATTGTATCTACAGTAACACTATAACACTAACAGTAACACTAACATTAACACTAACAGTAACATTAACACTAACAGTAACAGTAACACTAACACATACCCGTACATAAAAGTATCCTGTATAGTATGTATAGTATATGATAGATAATTGCCTAAATAAAACAAAACAAAAAAACAACAGTAACAGGCTAACAGCAACAATGGTCAATAAGCTGAGTAACATGATAATGCCATAAGCAGTGCCAGTACAGTAGGCACTAGTAGTAGTAGCAGGAGTAAGATAATATAGGATATTCTATATTATCTTACTCCTGGTAGTAGTAGTAGTAGTAGTAGTAGTCAGTGGCGTAGCCAGTATGTAGCACTGTAGGCCCGGGCCTACACTTTTTTTGGCCAAATTATCTTTTTTCTTTAAACACCCATAATTCAAATACCATAAG